CATTAAATGATAATCTGTGAATAAACCTGTCCATTCATACTAAATCTTTTTTTTTTTTAAGGAACATGCTTATTGGACACAAGGCAAAAGCAGCAGTATACTCCACACTGTGGAGTGCAGGGTCAGCTTCTCTTCTCAATGCTGTGACAGGATGCCTGGCCGAAGCAGCTTAAGGAAAAGGGGGAATTTCAGATCAGCCTGAGGGAACAGTGCACCATGGCAGCGGGATCTTGAGGCTGGTGTTGAGCAGCCTCCCCAGTCAGAAAGCAGATTCATGAGTCCTGGCGCTCAACTCTCCTCCTTCAGGCCCCGAGCTCAGGGGATAGTGCTGCTCACACGAACAGGCCTTCCCAACTCCCAGCCACACACAGAGCTGTACTTCCTCGGCAATTCTAGCAATTCTAAATCCAGCTAAGTTAGCGATCTGTGATTGGCCACCGTCACAAACACCATGCCACCAGAGAGGAAAAGGATCTGTCAGCATATTCCTTAATGTTCATTTTTTTTTTTTTGCAGTGCTGGGAGTTGGACAGCACATAAAACAGGCCTTTGTTCAGTAGACATTAAAAGATAGATAATCTGTGAATGTGTTCACAGATTTCATACACTAGACAAACACTCTACCGCCGGGCTTTATCCTTAGCCCTATCTTACTTTGTTTAAAGTTAAATAGATAAGTAATCACATGTGCTGGTACTCGTTTACTGCGATATTAAACACGACATCACATGCCCACTTCCAGAACAGGACTGGCTTCTAGTTCTTCATTCTAACTTCCTCAAGGAGAGGGCTTGGCCTGAACACATGTGTCAAGGAGGGAAAAGAAAGGCTGAAGAAACTGTGTACTCATTTCGCTCCTGAGCTTATGAGGTGCCACAGAGATTACAAAAATCCTTCCCTTGCTTTCACCAGGATTTGTCTGAGTGACCACTCCTAACAAGAAGGGTTTTAGGGGCTGCTGTTTCTTAAACTTGCAAGGTATATTCACATTTGAATACAAGGCTCAGTGGACAGAAGGCTTTGCCCATACTGAAATAACATTTTTCTATCTGTGTTCTCTGTACATCCTGTGTGCTGGTCAGGAGAGGGACTCAGTGGGCTTGGATTTCACCAAAGACTGTTGTACTCTCAAGTGGATTTTGGGCTACAAACTGCTCAAGATGATTCCAAGTTGGCTAGTGGAGATGGTGCAGCTTCTTACAACATTCTGGCCAGAACTTCAAAAAAGAACTTCAGAAAAGCCCTACCAACTATTCAGAGACTATCTGCAATTCTACCAGACAGTAATGTTGAAATTTAACCATCATTTTAGTTTTTACAGGATCCCATAGAAATAACATCGCCCCCATGCCAGCTGGAAGTAATTCTAGAAAGCAACATCCCTTCTTGTAACCAGAGACTGCTTGCTCGTTCCTGGCTGCCCTTACCCGAAAATCACACAGAAACTATATTAATTACAACACTGTTTGACCAATGGCTCATGCGTATTCTTAGCTAGTTCTTACATATTAAATTAACCCATTGCTATCATTTTATATATTACCACAAGGCTGTGGCCTACCAGTAAGGTTCTGATGGCTTCTCCTTTAGCAGCTACGTCATCTCCCTGACTCCGCCTACTCTCTTCTGCCTGGCTTTACTCTGCTAAGCCATTGGCCAAAACAGCTTCTTTATTAACCAATGGTAATAAAACATATTCATAGCATACAGAGGGGAATCCCACATCATCCTCTCCCAGTAAAGTTTGTCCTCAGGGTTAGAGACAATAGTCATCTGTTAGGGGTTGATTATAAGTGGTATAGGGTGGGGGTGGAAATGAGGTAGGCTCAGGGATCTCTTTTGAAAAAAAAGGGAATGGATGGGATGCTATTAGCTATAGGCAATTTACATTGGTATAAATTCTTCTATATTAATATAAATTCAAATTGTATTTGTTATATTGAATATGCTATTTCTGTTTATGATATTTTTGCACCTATGCAAAGTTATTTTCTCATATTGTTTGTATGTTGTATGTGTGTTTCTACCTCTACTTAAGATATTTTGTATATTGATGAAATTTTAGGATATATTTATCATATTGCACTATACATTTTTAGCTCTGATCAAGATACTTAATATTGTTTACATTTTGACAAGGACAAAATGCATGGTGTCCAGACCGGACAAGCAGGATACAAGCAAAATGGTTGCTGAATCTTACCAAGACAGGGTAAGGCAGTCTTTCCAATTTTCCAGCCTCTGAAAATGGTCTGTCAGATACTCCAGGCCTTAGCCAAAGTTGGCTTTTCCAACACTGCAAATGAGACTTTGGGTGATTACCCAGGTAGCTGGTTGTCTCTGTCATTTTTTGCACCTTTTGGAAGTTGCTTGATTGCACTTCCTGTTTACTCAAGTAATATTATTTCCCTTCTTACGTCTTTGATGGGGTTGAAGACTAGATAGTTGTAGTTACTTTCTTCTCATGACTTAGCAAAGACGTTTTAATTGTAAGACTTAGACTCCTAGAATAGGATAACTATTGAAACATTTAGCATTTGTTTCTTTCTTGATTTTGTTCATGCTGATTGTAATTCTAATTTTTATGTATGTTTTTGTGTCCTTTTCCCTGGACAATACTAGGTATTTATTCTTATTGTCTATAGTTTTGTAATAGATTCAGAATCTTCTTATTTAGACAAAAGGGGGAGGTATTGTGGGAACTCCTTCAGTCAATAATAGCCTTTTAGATACTGCCCATTTTGAGCACGGTCTCAGTACTGTAAGTGCAGACAGGAAGCACCTGTGGTCCCTTTTTTCTGCTGGATTCAGTTCCCAGTTTCCAGCGCACATAGAGGACTGCAGATCGCTACTCTTACTGTAAGTTTATCCCCAAATAAATAAACCTTTGTTATACTCCATTCCCGGCTATTGTGGAACTCTTTGATTCGCTTACAGAAGACTCTGGATTTCAGGTAATCAATAGCAGCACTATGAATAAGGTATTGCCATCTTTGTTTTTTGAAAGTGTACACAGGCTGGATATGAATGTGTGAGAATTCTCCTGCCTCAGCCTCCAGAGTGCAGGTATGGGTCACACCCTTCCCACTCCCGTCATCCTTAACCTTTGAATGGGAAAACCAGCAGTCATTAGGGTTCTAGAAGAAATCAAATGGCACATCCCAGAAGTTTAATAGAAGAAATGGCATTTATACAGTGGGATGGAGGCAGGAGAGGGACAAAGCAAAAAAGATTACCAAAGTATCCTGGGAAGTGACAGTGGCCTGTTGAGAAGGGGAGTCAGAGGAGGGCCAATTAGATAAGCACTCTTGGCAATGCGCTGAATATTCATAACTAGATGCCCGAGCCCCAGAATTGGTACTGAAGACTGGAGTCAGTGGAGGGAGAAACTTGCAACCCGAGAAAACCCAGCCCAGGGATTGAGTAAATAGAACGAGAGAGCACAGGGTTCAGGTCTGACCTTCTCCTTCCTCAACAACTGTGACGGGTCAGCACAGTTACGGAGTCCTGGAACAGACAAGCCCCAGCGACACAGATCCCAACATCACATGCACTTCCTATGTAGATGGCAGCCCCATGTGCTCCCTGCTCCCATCTTGCTCACAGTGATGCCAAATAGCTTTGCAAGAGCTCTAGATTTCCAAACACAGGCAGGACCAAGGCCATGGGAAGCCCTGTCAGTCCGTGTTGTTTGGACACAGTTCTGCTGCATAACATTTGCTGACCTGGAACTCACCATGTACCCCAGGTTGGGCCATCCTACCTCAGCCTCCTCAGTGCTAGGATACGTGCTGTGCCACCGCACCACTTAAGACCATGTTTTACAAGGGCTGCACTCCAGGGCACAGGTTAAGCTGTGCAGTGGTGGTGCGCGCCTTTAATCCCAGTACTTGAGATGCAGAAGCAGGAGGATCACTGTGAGGCCAGTCTGGTATACAAAGTGAATTCCAGGACCGGTAGACCGTTACACTGAGAAAACTTGTCTCAAAAAATAAAAACAAACAAACAAACAAGGGACAGTGCAGAGTATGAGGAGTGAGGAAGAGGCAGACAACCGCCAGCTTCCTTGCAGGGGACATGTCTGTGATCACCGTACTTGCAGCTGCTAAGAGGCAAATCTACTTCATGCATTGCTAGACAAGTTGGAGCCTTGAGTGGAAACTGACTTTTTGTTAACAACTCATGACTTGGGAATAACACACATCTTTGATTTGACAAATAGAAACAAATACCTACTGTATTAGAGCCTTATGTGCAAGTTATAAGATATGTAAATCACTAGGTCCAACACAAGTTCAATAAATAATGATCATTACCCCTTGTATTGTTTTTTTTTTGTTTTTTTTTTTTGGTTTTTCGAGACAGGGTTTCTCTATGGTTTTGGAGCCTGTCCTGGAACTAGCTCTTGTAGTTCCACAGAGGAACTCACAGAGATCCGCCTGTCTCTGCCTCCCAAGTGCTGGGATTAAAGGCGTGCGCCACCACCACCCAGCTTACCCCTTGTATTGTTAAGCTTACAAAGACTCTTCAGCATAAATGACTGTTCTGTTTAAAGACATTATTTGTTACTGCAAATACAGACATTGTAAGAAGGAATTCTTTCACAGGTGACTTAGTAAATCACGGGTAAAGGTAACACCCAACTGAATCCTAAGTTTAATCTTATCACAGTCCTATATGCAGAGTTACTGGGAAGGAGCCTAAGTGGAGGCTCAGTTCGGGGACCAGCGTGGGAAGACTGGCACCCCAGCTGTCCTTACACCTGCTCAGTAGTTGCTCCCAGACAACAGCAACAACGTTTTAGGCTTGCGGCTATGAGACAAGTTCAAACAGACAACTTTTGTTTTGCAAATCAAAATTTATGCGTAACTTTATAATTTTCTCCCCCAATTTTTATTTTGGAATAAACAAAGACTAAATTAAATTTCCCCCAAGAAACATCTAGAGGGTTTTCCTTTCCAGAATTGTGACATGAACAAGTTTTGCCCCAGGTAATCACCTTCAGTCACTGTGGGGGGGTTAGCCCCATTCTGCAGATTTCTGCGTTATCTTACAGACGAGTCACAGTAATATGCCCAGCTTAGAGAATGTTAATATAAACCTTGCCCATGTCACTTGGTCCCTCGCTCTTACTCAGACAGTTTCCCAGCAGCTCCTTGATGGAGACACAATCCTCCGTCTCCAGCAAGAACCGTTCCACAGCCTTGCGTCCCGGCAGCTGGCTCTCCACCATCACCCTTTTGACGCTCTCCAGGACAACACCTCTGATGGCCTTAGGCCTCCCAGGGACACTGAAGATGATAAACAGGCCCAGACAGTCCTCTCCCACCAAGTTACAGAACTCTTCCAGCTTCTCAAATCTGCCTTTCTTCCAAGACTCCTCTCCCTTTGACTCACAGGATTTGGGGTCCCACAGAGGAGGAGGGGCAGCCATCCTCAGGGCCTGCACTGCCACCTGAAGCCGTATCTGCTTATCAGGTCCCCAGAAGGTCCAAATCCAGTCTGCCCCGAACAGCAAGGCCTGGTGCTTGGTCATCCGGGTGGTGGTGAGCCACTCATCGGCCCCCCTTTCCTGGCAGAAAGTGATGAAGTGGACGAGGAAGAGCTCACTCAGCGTACCCACGGCAAGGCCGAGACTGCTCAGTGGATACTCAAACCCGAGATACTCCTTCAGCTTCTGCGCCGCGTGGGCAACAGCTGCACTGACCACCTCACACATGGCGAGAACCTCCTGCCTGTCCTTTGGAGCCAGGCTTCTTGGAGCCTGCTGGGAGGAGGCCTTTTGTCCCATTTTCCCCTGCCCCCAGGAGATGCTCCTCTTAGCTATCAGACATGGGAATGTCACCAGGAACCGCTTCTTTTTCAGAGGAGGGCTTCTTCATCGAACCAAGTCTGTTGAGACTGTCCCCAGCTTCCTAATGCCACGGCTTTTCTTGGTGTGGCTAGCCATATAGACCCGAGGCTGGCAAACATGTGAGGGCTTCCTGTTTGACAACTGGGTGTGTTGTGCTCACAGATTCCTGCCGCCTGCCGAGTGACAAATAACAGTTTCACAAAAAACACCCGTTCTTCACCTGGTTATGGAGATCTTTGTAAACTCTGCCTAAATGTGGTTCCAGTTAAATGGAAACCAGTACGCGAGCGTGCAGTTTGGAGTCATACATTCCCTCTCTCCAGCCAATATCTCCAAGTCTGCAAGTCCCTTCTGCCCTGACCCTTGGTTCCCCAAGTATGCTATACTGACATCTTTCCTTTTCTACATACTTAAGTAGAGATCTCAGCTCGTCTGTGATTCATGCTGTGGACCCAAACAAACAAACATGGGCAAGCTTATATATATATAATAGCCTGTTGTGCTACCAGGAACAAGACCTTGCTATTCCGAACAAAGGAACAGTAAATAATGACAATGAAAAACACAAGGCAGTTATCAATTGACTTTATTTCTTTTCATAAGGAAATGCCAACAGTGCATAATACTTTTGTAAATAAAATATATAATCAAAAGCTTTTATCTTTATCACATATCATCGGTTGTTACATTGTCCTTAATAAAGAGTATTTGGCATCTGTAACAGTCTGCTGGCATTTTCAACCAGGGTCCAATAACAAATTGAGCTTTTCAAATGGTGATATTTATTCATGTTAAACTAAAATCCCAGTACAGGAAGAAGCCAAGAACGTCACCACTCATGAACGGGAGCATTCAAAGGAAATCAGGGTTAGCATCAGATGGTTTCAGTCAGAATAAAGAGTGGTGTTACAACCTGCACAGTGCACAGCTTCATGATCTGCTGAGCATATAGAAGGAATACCGCTCACATTTAGAAATGGTTATCACCAAATCTATTACCATACACTGAATTGCCTCCCTGTACCCCAGTGTGTGAGCTCCTGTCTGTACACAGTTGGTCTCGGTATGTGTCATCCTGGATGAAAAACAGATTGTCCCCAACACCGCTGAAAACACAACATACACATGCCACAGGAACAGCTGCTCTCGGTTTTCTCTTTTCTTTACAAAGAGCTTTAGGGCCGTGTGCTACAGAAAACATGAGCAACAAACATTCTGCAGCTTCAGAGTTTTGGATCCTGACTGAACTCATGCGGAGCCCCCTAAGCTGACAGTGTGAGTGTAAGGGACAGTCGGCATGGCGAGGCGGGCTCCTTAGTTTAACGTCATTGTGCATTCAGCAAAGAAGAAAACGAGAGACTTAATACGCAAAGGTTCTATTTTGGTCTGGGTTTTCAAAGTCACCCTAGCAGAAACTTTCCTGAGGGGTTTAAGGGCATCCAAAGATCCTTTATAAAGTAAATGGGGTCAAGATTAAAGCTGAAGCTTCTAAACTGCTCCATGAGTTTGTGGGAATCACGTGAAAATGTATCAATGGAGGGAAAAGGGGACTGAGATCCTCAGGAGTCTGCTGGTATATAAAAATTGAGAACACTGGGGTTTGTTTTTAATACGATCTTTGGATCCTGTGTCACAAAATAAAAGTTCTGTTTTCTATATACTGTATATATACACACATATTTAGAAAAATATATAAAAATAAGACAGTCAGAGGCCAGTGGAGGTGCGTGGCATTTAGTGGCACCGGACGTGGCGAGCACTTGGATCTGGAGAGCAGCACGTTCAGCTTAGACGGCTGCAGGGAACACTGATGTGGCCAAACCTCCGTCCCGGGGATGTGAATGAAGCACTCTGGCAAAACACCCAACCTTAAACGCAACACGTTAAATAGAATATATCACAGACTTTACATTAAATAGAGGCAGAGCGAGCAGACTTCCGGTCACCAGCGCCTCGGGATTCTTCAGAATTGGCACTGTTCCCCTGCGTGACAGTCCCACTTCCGAGGGAGCAGAAGTCGGGACAATTAACAATGCACAACCTGCCACCTGTTGCACACGCCATTTCAAAGACAGAGTTGGAAACGACATCTGTGCGCCTGATCCTGCCCGGGTGCTCCGGTCAAACGTTGGAGTCTTCGTCTGTGATGCTGGCACTTGGGGAGCGGGCAGCAAAATCTTTAAACATGTCGTCTTCCTTTAACATGTGCTGGAAAACAAGGGACAGAGCTCAGCACCACACACCTGCCGACACGCAAGTGCGTGTTTGTGGCTTTGGATGCTTTTAGAGTAACATTTTCAACTCCCTGTCCACACTTACTGTGAGATTGTTGATGCCTTCGGAGAACGCACCGATCTGCCTCACCGTCCCTTCTGAGTCCTCCATCTGCCAAGAACAAGCCACAGTGTGACAAACTCACTCGCACACTTTCAGAAGGGCAGAGAAACCCACGAGAGTAAAGCGGGAAGACGGTAAGCGTCACAGAATGCGGCCGGGGCCACGGGGACCTGTGCCTCTGCGTCCCCTCTGAAGACACTTCCCAGGCACCGACGATAAAGTACGCCAAGTGCTGAGGACAGCACCGGAAGCAGGCGGCAACCTGCGGGATTCAGAATACTTCACGATTTTTATTTTCAGGCATGTGAAGACGGCACGCTTCATGACCGACAGTGTGCAAAGCTTCCATGGTGCATCCGAGTGCCTGTGGGTACGCGGTGCAGGGCTTACCTGCTCTAACCGATCCAAATCATCCTCTTCATACAGGCGCATGTCCAAGCCAGTTCTAAACCCCTTCTGGGAGCTACTCCCCGAAGCGTGGCCCAGTTCCATGGGACAAACATATTCCTCTCCGTCTTCTTGCTTCTTCTTCCTCAGGTTCCCGAAGTTGCTGAAGGTCAGTTTCTTTGGCTTTAAAAGCAAACAAAAAGGCACCCAGGAATTTGATAAAAGTCCTCTGACAAAGGACTAATAACAAGTCCAAGTTAATTATTCATTTCATCACCAAAGCAAGCAACCTGGACGATCAAACCATCACAAGAAAGCCAGAAGCACCCTGGACACACAAGCCATGCACCATGGCCTTGGTGTAACTCTCAGAAGGTGAATCTCACTGTGAGGACACAGACTGGACATGCCAAGACCCTTTGTTTGCATTAGATAGGATTTAACACAATAGATTGCCTCTCAGAGATGAGTCAAATTGTACAAAATGAGTCAATCTAAGATCAGAAAAAGATGGTGATCCTAACTGGTCTAGCGGCACAGGCCTGCCCGCAGCCACAGCTACACAGCTACTTGGAAGCTGAAGCAGGAGAATCACAAGTTTAAGACATGCCTGGGCCACTTAATAAGAGCCTGGCTTGAAATAAAATATTAAAAAAAAAGCCCGGCTGTGGTGGTGCATGCCTTTAATCCCAGCACTCGGAAGACAGAGGCAGGTGCATCTCTGTGAGTTCGAGGCCAGCCAGGTCCACAAGAGCTAGTTCCAGGACAGGCTCAAAAAGCCACAAAGAAATGCTGTCTCGAAAAAAACAAACAATCAAAAAAAATTTAAAGGAGGGGACAGACTGAGGTATATAGGTCAACGGCAGAGCATTTGCCTAATATGGGTAAGACCTTAGGTTGAGTCCCAAGCTGGATGGAGAAGAGGAATGGAGAGAGGGAAGGGACGTCGGACAGTAAAGCTGTCAGAAAAGCTGTGGTTACTTTGTTTGCCTAGTCCGCCTCACAGGAGGCCTGGTGAGTGGTCAAAGACTCCACACTCTTGGAGAGAAAGTGTCTACTGATCTTTAGGAGAGAAACTTCATCTTAGTCTATACAGCCCCCAAGGAGGAAGGAATTCAAAGTCAGGGTAAAAACAAAGAGAGCTTGGCATGTATTTCTAGGAGAATTCCTAAGCTGCCTTCACATTAAGTATGTGAAAATAACACATACAAACAAGTTAACACAGGAATAACTCGAGAGAAAAAGCAATCTTCCACAACCCTCAAACCCTGGTGAGTAAAAACACCCCACGGTCTTTATGTGTAGCTCAGATCAACCCTGAGTTTGCAATCCTCCTGCCTTAGCCACTTGCATGCTGGGATTACAGGCAGGTGTAACAACCCCTGGTTTTGACGCTCTCCTTAAGAAGATTTTTTTGATTTATAAACCAAACAAGCTGAATAATATGCGCAAGAAGGAACTTAGTGGTTCACTTACTCATCAGCAGCGCTGAGCTGAAACCCAGGCCTCATGCCTGCAGGCATGTGTTCACCACTCTGCTACTCCCACCCCACGTCCTCCTCTTATACCTATTCACCAACAGGAAAGCAAAACCACTGCAATGGTAAACTGGGCCCCAGCCATAGCTCTCGGCATCGGCAATGCGCTGACGACAGAAGCCGGCGTCCACCTCTAACTCTAATATGACAAATGATTTCAGCAGGAACTTTCAAACAGGCAGTCCCTTAATTGCTCCTGAAGGTCATAAATATGTCTGCATACAGACTTTTTATCTCATCCATAAAACTGAGCAACTCTCTAAAGGATGGGAGGTTGGGGCCTCTGCATGCACTCCACAACGATCACACGAACCAACCTTCACTTTGGCAGTAGCTGTTAGCAGTACATAATCTGGTAACTCCATGGCATCCCGCTTCTGGTGCTGGGCCTCAGCACCAATCAGAAGGTTGAAATGGGTGGCCAAATGTCTGCGCAGCAAGGTTTTGTTTGGTGGAATGTTCAACAACTGAGCCATGGTTTCCACATTAAAACGAGGCTCAAGAACCTGTAAGAAAAACTGGGATTGGTAAAAGGTGCCATAGGTCATACACGGTTGCAGCGGAAGCACTTGACAGTTTGCAACCTTTCCTCTGGGTCATCCCCAACAGCCTATCAACAGCAGAGGGCACAGACTTTGATTGCTTTCTTTTTTAGATTTATTTTTTTAATGTGTAAAAGTGTTTGCCTACATGTATGTATGTATACCACATGTGTACAGTGCCCACTGAGGCAAGAAGAAGGTCCAGACCCCCTGGAACAGGGGTTACACATGGTCACCATCCACCATGTGGGTGCTAGCGACTGAACCCGGGTCCTCTGCGAGAGCAGCCCCTGCTC